GGGAAAGAGATAGAGTATACTTTCTAAAAAGAATATTACGAATAGTGAAAGAAAAAAATTGGGTATATCTTAAAAAGACAAAAATATAATAGGTGTCAGTATTACGTTTAGAATTCGAAGAGAAACTGACACGAATTGGATATGAAACGTCAGCAAGTGTTGCTCCATTCGCAACTCGTTGAGACGGAATCAATGGTGTCTTCGCACCGGGTGTTCTTCCTGTTCCCTCTGCCTCCTTTCGATAATCGAATCTCATCCACGGGGTGTCGAGTAAAGAATGCAGTCTTTTGGAAAGTGTTTCGGATGTTGTCGACTAATAGCAGCCTCCAGATATCGCGATCAATACCATTTCTTCCTTCCAACACACTCAAATGGTGCTCTTATGTCCTTCCACATAATCTGTATTATTAAAAAAGAAGTTTTCAAAAATAATTCACAGATATCATCCGTCATATCAGAGTCATCCCGATGATATTATTTCATTTATTTCAACATCGCTAATTAGGATTACGACACTCCTAGATCCGGGGATTTGGAAATGCCAAAGCATCTCGAGTAGATGCTTCCAATTCCAAGGGAAACAAACTCAAATAAATTTCGAAGCACGTATGAAATCCGTTTATCTCGTGTCGGGGTACAAATAACGATGGCGGACACGCCTTCCAAAATCCTTCACATTAGGTCGCCGAAGCGTCGAGAGGGCTGTAGTCGTAATCCGAGATTAAGCAAGCCCAGGATCGCTTTAATCCCTGCCACGTTTAAGAGACCGTTTACCCCACAGACTCTTAGCCACCCTCTTAGCTTCGAAATGGCTCGAAGAAATCCTTCGCGACTCCATCTTGCACGAGAGACAACAATGAAATAAAAATAAAGAGATTAACTGAAAAAAAATAGATTTCAAAATCTACTCTGGATTAGGAAGATGATAAAATGGGACCAAAAGGAGCAACAGAAGGAGTTGAATTCTGTCAAAATAATTTTGGATGATATAAATAATAGGATATATCGAATAAATCTGAACTTGAAAACAGGCGTTTGAAAATAGACGATTCGAGGAAGCAGAGATGCACAACATCTACGCAAGGCGTATTCGCGAAGAAGGAGAAGAGGATGAAACGAGCATGGGGTGAATTGCACCGTAGGAGAGAAGTCCGGAGGCCGTGCTGTCATATATCAGTGGATCGGTAGGAGGGTGTCAACGAGCTCGAACGAACGTCTCAGCAGGGTGGCTGCAGGGCACGCTGTCGAAAATCTGCGTGTCCAAATGCAAGAATCTAATGCACGTAATCCTAAGCTGACTAGGTTTTCCCTGATTCCACGCGAATCGGAATTATAGTACATACCTGCTATTCCCTCTAATCCTTTCGACGTGATCCTCTCCGGTTTAATAGAGACACGTGTGACAATGCTGCAATATAAATAACGTTATAAGTTAGGTGCAGAAAAGAATATAATTTAAATAATTTTAGTTTCAAAATTTAGCTTCTTAAGATCCTTTGATTGGGATTAATTCTTCAAATATCAAATTCTTCACCATTTTCTACCAGAAGCTATGATAGTTCTTCGAATTGAGATATTTTAGTCTCCTTTGATGCTGTTATAGCGTCGATATTTAATTTTTTAAATATTCTTCTCATTTTCTTCGTGATGTAATTTCAAAGATGATCACGGATATGATAACAGCGAAGAACGTGAATATTTACACATTTCCTCCAAGCTTGGATTTAGTTGAATTTCATTGAAACTACACCACATTCGACAATGATACTAAAAACACCAAACTATTATGGAAATTAGTGGAGTTATTGAAATCATAAAATATTGGAACTAAAAAAAATACCCAAGTTGCCAAAACCAAGACACATCAGCGAATATTTCAATTTTCGATACTATAACGATTTTAAAAATGGTTAAACTCCAAAAATGACACAAATGGAAGCTGCTCGAACAATCATAGGGATTACTCATTTTAACTTCGAGAAAATAAAAATTGCGATATTTTTCTATACACACCGCAATGTTAAATTCTCGTAGAAGATTTAAACCGAAGAAGGATGAAATAATTTTCGTGTAGTTTTATTTTCGACAACGAAAATCTAATAGTGCACGATAATCTCCGTGGAGGGAAGACTAATTGAATTCGACTTTTTTCCTAACCGCAATCTGGCGAACCACCCCTCGCTGCTTCCCACCCCGAATCAACCGAAACATTTATGTATGCGGCCACGAGCTGTCGCGCAAGAACGTATTGCGATGAAACGGATGGAAAAAAAGACGGAAGAAGGGCTGGGATAGGCTTGCAACGCGGTAACCGTCCCTTCCGGAGAGCAGAAGGGCGCAACCCTCGTTTTCACTGTACCAGCCCTTCTCAGCCAGTCACCCTATGACACGGGGTTGGGGTTTCTCTTCGACCGGGGTTGTAACGGAGTCTGGTGCCGCCATCTTGAATTTAATTGCCAGGAAAATGGTGGTGTCGATGATGCTTCTAACGTTATTCTTCTGACATTAAGCCTTCCACGATTTTTTATATTTTCATATGTGTCAATTTATTATTGGTAGATTTATTTCGTATCTCTGTTGTTATCATTGGAGCTACTGATCTATTTAATGTGGATAGGGATGATCATTAACGTTAACGCTTCTAACGTTATTCTTCTGACATTAAGCCTTCCACGATTTTTTATATTTTCATATGTATCAATTTATTATTGGTAGATTTATTTCGTATCTCTGTTCTTATTATTGGAGCTACTGATCTATTTAATGTGGATAGGGATGATCATTAACACGATATGGCGAAGATAATAAAAATCAAATAAAATCAAAGTTAAATTTGTTAGAAAAACTTGAATCATTTTGATGGATTATGTAATTCTAATATTGACAAAACAGAGACAAACTGGTAGATCGTGTAAGTAAAAGAAATCTTTTATAAACAATTGTTTAATGTAGATTTTAAATATATAATTTTTTAATTAAAAAGATTCGTTGTTAATTTGCTAATGTTTAAATGTTACTTGTTTATCTGTTATTGGATTGATTAAGGAAAGAGAAGAATTTGTGGTAAGAAGAACAAAATCAGATGTAATTAATAAAATATATAACAATTTATTCTTTATCAAATATATAATCTCTGGTCATATATATATTTTCTTATTGCATGGATTAGTATTGGACTAGTATCGACATAATAGTCCTTCGTCAGGTATTAATAAAGTCATTATATCAAAAATATAATACAAATTCGAACGAACGATCCTTCATAAAACGAAGAATCATAGTATCAAGGCAACAATCATTGTTCGATATATATAAATATATAATATTCTTAGTAATATATACACGTATATGTATACGTATGTCGCTATTCATATAATAATCTTCCGCGCGTATATATAAATATCAATATATAAATCTTTAGTCAAGGTATATAAAAAATAGTATCTATCGCTAAACTATAAAATCGACCGCGATTTCGTCGTTGAAAATATATCACATAGGATAGCCATAAGGGGGAAACGAGTGTCCCTGAGGTAGAGTGTGACCTAAAGCGAACATTCCCAATGCAGCCGCCGACATCCGATAAGGATCCCGATTTTCATGTGTCCTCATGTGCTTCTTCAAGTGGTCCTTCCTGCCGAAACATTTTCCGCAAATGATGCAAGCGTGCGGACGTAGTCCAGTATGGATCCTCTTGTGCCTCGTCAGTTCCTCGTTCCTGGTAAATGATTTCCCACAACCTTCAGCGTCGCATTTGAATGGTCTCTCTCCTGTAATAGAGAAAAATACAAAATTTATAAATCTTGAGAAATTTTCGGACAAAGACATCTATAGATTTGCGGACCTACTTTCGGTAAATCGTCTACTGTGACGAATTGTCACAAAATTCATTATTCCGGCCTTAAAATATTATACTTTGGAATTTTCGTTTAATCACAGGTTTTATTTATACACGTAGTTTATATTAAAATAAAAACATTTGATACAGTTTACTCGATTCGCTATTTCGGATTCTACACAATTTTCTCGGGAGCGTTGGGTATTTTCAAACGGTTCTAATTTCGAATGAGTTTAGATCGAACTAGAGATTGAATTAAAATTAAATTGGAGACATTAAAAATCTAAATATCTAAAAATTCGGGAATTCGAACGTCTAAAAGTGATACAAAAAGTTTGAAATTGGTAATGTCTCGTTACACAGTTAATCGTAACATCACATAGCAGTCTTGCTTATTCAAACATAATCAAAACAAACGTCTACGCGATGATTCAAACACGATGATCAGTTATCTGACTCATTGTTTATCCTAATCGTGACAAGATTCAAAATTCCAGTTAAAGCGAAGGTGAAACTTACCGGTATGTATCCTGACGTGTCCCTTGAGCTGGCCGTTATTGCTGAATGCGACATCGCAGTGTTCGCACCGGAATTTCTTCGGCCGCAGTTTCTTCATTTGCTTCGCGACCGCGTCCTGTCTATGAAGCATCTCCACAGCCTGCTCCATCATCGGTGCGTACAGACTTTGCGGAAGGTGAGGCACAGTTGGGAACCCACAATAAAAGGACTGTCCAGTGGTTGAAACAGTCGTAGCCTGACGCGCAGAAACTTCGACAGGGACTGTCGATGGACCAGCGTTCAGAGGTTGCAAGGTGTGAATTTGTGGAATATTCAACCTCTGGAGATATTCCACCGGATACGCCGGTCCATACACCGGATAGTCATTCATTATGGGGTATGTCTCAGGAATCGAAGAACCACTTTGGATAACTTGAGGCACGGAACAAGTGGTCGTATTAGAGGATTCAAGAACGAATTTATTCAGCAGATCCAGGCTGCTACTCCTAATGGCATCTTCGCTGTTGACGGAGTCGGACCTACTACTACTAGCTTCGGCAGAGGACCGTCTTCTTCGCCTGCCTTGTCCTCCGGTAGAATTCAGAGAGGAGGTTTCGTTCTCTGACAAACTCGCAGCGCTGACCTCCTCGTAGATCGAAATGGAAGTAGAACTTCGGCGATCTTCCTCGACCACAGGTATTCTCACCGTCTCTGTCTGTGTGTCTTTCTGTTCGCTGACTTCTGTTATCTTTTCAGAGTCGAAGACGTTCCATGGTCGGAAGAATCCGGTACTCTTTCCGTCAGACATGTTTTCGAGAGGAAGATGAACTTTCTAAGTATGACTGACTCGTACCGGGCGTGATACCAACACCGACTGCTTCCTTTCGACGATGCTCTAACGAGTAATTCTTCCGGAAGTCTACGAGAAGGATGGGAATTAGAGGCACGAAGTCTCGAAGGCGACTGTTGATTCTGGTAAAGCTCACCCTACAGTTATATAGCTGCGATTGTGCCCACCCTCCAGTTCGGATTGGGTCGTTTCACTGTCGAAGGTAGTTTGCCCCGGTCACCAGAGCGAGGGAGGAAGGGGCACCCTTCTGCAATAAGGGCAAAGGTGGGTTTTAGGGAGGCCGGTCGAGGGCTACGCGATACGCAGCCCCTTTGTTGGGAATTAATCGGTCGCCACGGCCACGGGGCTCTTTTGTCACGGAGAAGCGAAAGGGAATAGTAGGAAAAGAGGCAACGGAAGAGGGCAGTGGCAGGGGCTGCATTCGCAGAACGGGCCCAGCTAGACCTCTCACCAAACCTCGTGTTCCAACTTGGTTCTGATGATTCAATCCTTCTCAGCGACTCCATCTTCCTTCCAGTCCTTCTCGAATTCAAGCATATGCGATTGTCGCGTGAATTTTGTTAGGATAAAATCCACCGAATTAACGCGACAATCTAATATGATCTCTGGGAAGCTTCTAATCACGGTTGAACTTGGTCCTGACGAAGGAATCCTCCATCACGCGATTTCTTCCACGTCCTGACGAATTAAGACATACGTAATTGCCGCGTGAATTATATTGGACTTGAAAATTGCATTTTCTAATTGGACTTACTTATTTGCTGTTTGAACTGCTAGATGTCCCATTCAGGTCGTGCATGGTTCTATAAAATTTGACTTTATTCCATCACCGAGAGCAAACATTTATGAATAAATATGCATACGAATGCCGAAGTTTATTTCATGTTCACTTTTAAATAAAAAACAGTGAAAACTTATCCATAGCTTGAGACTCAGATTCTGTTCGTGATATGCATGTACGTGGTATGGAACGGCGAGGTTCTAGCTGTATGAGCTTTTCCATCCATTGGTTCGGTTCTTTTTAGGCATTCTTCACTTCTCTCGATTAATAGAAAGATTTAGTCTGTAGGCCTATTGATCTCCGTTTACATGTATAATTAGAGCATTTATGCTAGAAACCTGTTTCTGTTTGCATATATATGGCATTCTCTCGATTAATAGAAAGATTTAGTCTGTAGGCCTACTGATGTCCGTTTACGTGTATAACTATAACATTTATGCTAGAAACATGTTTCTGTTTGCATATATATGACATTTTCTCGATTAATAGAAAGATTTAGTCTGTAGGCCTATTGATGTCCGTTTACGTGTATAACTATAACATTTATGCCAGAAACCTGTTTCTGTTTGCATATATATAGCATTTTCTCGATTAATAGAAAGATTTAGTCTGTAGACCTATTGATCTCCGTTTACATGTATAATTAGAGCATTTATGCTAGAAACCTATTTCTGTTTGCATATATATGGCATTTTCGCGATTAATAGAAAGATTTAGTCTGTAGGCCTATTGATCTCCGTTTACATGTATAATTAGAGCATTTATGCTAGAAACCTATTTCTGTTTGCATATATATGGCATTTTCGCGATTAATAGAAAGATTTAGTCTGTAGGCCTATTGATCTCCGTTTACATGTATAATTAGAGCATTTATGCTAGAAACCTGTTTCTGTTTGCATATATATATAGCATTTTCTCGATTAATAGAAAGATTTAGTCTGTAGGCCCATTGATGTCCGTTTACATGTATAATTAGAGCATTTATGCTAGAAACCTGTTTCTGTTTGCATAAATATGGCATTTTCTCGATTAATAGAAAGATTTAGTCTGTAGACCTATTGATGTCCGTTTACGTGTATAACTATAACATTTATGCTAGAAACATGTTTCTGCTTGCATATATATGGCATTTCCTCGATTAATAGAAAGATTTAGTCTGTAGGCCTATTGATCCCCGTTTACATGTATAATTAGAGCATTTATGCCAGAAATTTGGTTCTCTTTGCATATACATGTCATTTTCCCGATTAATAGAAAGATTTAGTCTGTAGGCCCATTGATCTCCGTTTACATGTATAATTAGAGCATTTATGCTAGAAACATGTTTCTGTTTGCATATACATGGCCATTTTCCCGATTAATAGAAAGATTTAGTCTGTAGACCTATTGATCTCTGTTTACCTGTATAATTGTATCATTTATGCTAGAAACCTGTTTCTGTTTGCATATATATGGCATTTTCGCGATTAATAGAAAGATTTAGTCTGCAGACCTATTGATCTCCGGTTACCTGTATAATTGTAACATTTATGCTAGAAACATGTTTCTGTTTTCATATACATGGCCATTTTCCCGATTAATAGAAAGATTTAGTCTGTAGGCCTATTGATGTCCGTTTACGTGTATAACTATAACATTTATGCCAGAAACCTGTTTCTGTTTGCATATATATTGCATTTTCTCGATTAATAGAAAGATTTAGTCTGTAGGCCCATTGATCTCCATTTACATGTATAATTAGAGCATTTATGCTAGAAACCTGTTTCTGTTTGCATATATATTGCATTTTCTCGATTAATAGAAAGATTTAGTCTGTAGGCCTATTGATGTCCGTTTACGTGTATAACTATAACATTTATGCTAGAAACATGTTTCTGCTTGCCTATATATGGCATTTCCTCGATTAATAGAAAGATTTAGTCTGTAGGCCTATTGATCCCCGTTTACATGTATAATTAGAGCATTTATGCCAGAAATTTGGTTCTCTTTGCATATACATGTCATTTTCCCGATTAATAGAAAGATTTAGTCTGTAGGCCTATTGATGTCCGTTTACGTGTATAACTATAACATTTATGCTAGAAACATGTTTCTGCTTGCCTATATATGGCATTTCCTCGATTAATAGAAAGATTTAGTCTGTAGGCCTATTGATGTCCGTTTACGTGTATAACTATAACATTTATGCTAGAAACCTGTTTCTGTTTGCATATATATGGCATTCCTTCGATTAACAGAAAGCTTTAGTCTGTAGGCCCATTGATCTCCGTTTACATGTATAATTAGAGCATTTATGCCAGAAACCTGATTCTGTTTGCACATATATAGCATTTTCTCGATTAATAGAAAGATTTATTCTGTAGGCCCATTGATCTCCATTTACATGTATAATTAGAGCATTTATGCTAGAAACCTGTTTCTGTTTGCATATATATGGCATTTTCGCGATTAATAGAAAGATTTAGTCTGTAGGCCTATTGATCTCCGTTTACGTGTATAATTAGAGCATTTATGCTAGAAACCTGTTTCTGTTTGCATATATATGGCATTTTCGCGATTAATAGAAAGATTTAGTCTGTAGGCCTATTGATGTCCGTTTACGTGTATAACTATAATATTTATGCCAAAAACCTGTTTCTGTTTGCATATATATGGCATTTTCTCGATTAATAGAAAGATTTAGTCTGTAGACCTATTGATGTCCGTTTACGTGTATAACTATATCATTTATGCTAGAAAACTGTTTCTGTTTGCATATATATGGCATTTTCTCGATTAATAGAAAGATTTAGTCTGTAGGCCCATTGATCTCCGTTTACATGTATAATTAGAGCATTTATGCTAGAAACATGTTTCTGTTTGCATATACATGGCCATTTTCCCGATTAATAGAAAGATTTAGTCTGTAGACCTATTGATCTCTGTTTACCTGTATAATTGTATCATTTATGCTAGAAACCTGTTTCTGTTTGCATATATATGGCATTTTCACGATTAATAGAAAGATTTAGTCTGTAGGCCTATTGATCTCCGTTTACATGTATAATTAGAGCATTTATGCTAGAAACCTGTTTCTGTTTGCATATATATGGCATTTTCACGATTAATAGAAAGATTTAGTCTGTAGGCCTATTGATTTCCGTTTACGTATATAATTTTAACATTTATGCTAGAAACCTGTTTCTGTTTGCATATATATGGCACTTTCGCCATTAATAGAAAGATTTAGTCTGTAGGCCTATTGATCTCCGTTTACATGTATAATTAGGGCATTTATGCTAGAAACCTGTTTCTGTTTGCATATATATGGCATTTTCTCGATTAATAGAAAGATTTATTCTGTAGGCCTATTGATGTCCGTTTACGTGTATAACTATAACATTTATGCTAGAAACATGTTTCTCTTTGCATATACATGTCATTTTCCCGATTAATAGAAAGATTTAGTCTGTAGACCTATTGATCTCCGTTTACCTGTATAATTGTAACATTTATGCTAGAAACCTGTTTCTGTTTGCATATACATGACCATTTTCTCGATTAATTGAAAGATTTGGCCTGTAGGCTTATTGATCTCTGTTTACTTATATAATTATAACATTTATGCCATTATTAGGAA